TCTCCCAGGTGTTTTTCCATTTGCTGTGTGAGGAATATGCGAAGTGATATCCACAGGTAAGTGATTTTGAAAAGAAAATGTAGGTGATTGTACACAGTGGGGGACTTAAGATGGTCCTCGCTTTCTCAGCGAGCTTGTCATTTGCTTGCTGCAAACCACAATGTAGGAGCGAGGGCGTGTAGACAGGAAGAGCACACTTCTGGAGATATCATTTGTAGTCGGTCTCCAGGATGCTCGGATTTTGTAGGCACCAGGATGCCTCTCGAAGGACATTAACCTTCAGAGACGACTGGCTGGCAGCGGTGGGGTCTCTTCATCCTAGAACTGTGGTGACTCCCCTCTCACCATCAGGCTCAATCTTCTGCAGAAAATCACCACTGTTGGCTTATATTTACACACATGCAATGGTGCACAGTGTCCGAGTGCCACAGGTCTGCAGATGTCCCGTCTGTGTAAGTGACACAATCACATATGGGGCGTAGGGTGATTGGATTTGTGGCCTGTCTCCAGACTGATGGCCTTCACTACCAAATGAGATGTAGGTATTGTGGGAAACAGAACTCCCCTCATCAAAGAAAAACCAGGATAACTCACATGGGGCACTCAACATGGAGTACTAGTCAAGCACCAGTTATTGCTAGTGACCACATGTGTCTTCTCAAAGGAGGTCTCAAGATGAATTTCACAAGCAGGACTTTGCATCTGAACCAGTACACACACACACACGCACACGCACACGCACACGCACACGCACACGCACACACTATAATAACTGCAAACAATGACCATGCATAAATCATGTTGCATCGATGAACTGGGCTTGCAGTGAAGATTTAAAGCCAGAAGTCTCATTTCTCCAGTGCTCAGACCATATCTGCCCGCTTCCTTGTGGTCTGGTCATTATTATACATGGAGGAAACAAAATGTTTCATAGAGGACGATACACAGACACTTTTCTGGTTCTGTTTCAGAAGGAAAATGCTGATCCTCATTTACAAATTGATTTTAAGACCCAAAACAAGCAGTTTGAAAAATACTGTGGTATATGAAAACATTAACAAAGTTATTTTTTAAAAAAGCTAAATAGACATGTTACTTTATTTCAGAGGCCTTGGCATAGTATTGGAATTATATGAAGCATTTATTAAACTTATTTAAGCATCCCCATCACCTTGTGGGATAGTCAATGGAATACTGCCCTGCTGTTAATACTTTCAATACACAAATACCTTAGGGTTATTTTAACCTAACTCTAATACACCACAGCATATTCAACAATTTCTAAATAACGGACTGAAGGGTAGTCCCTGCTAGAGACTGCGAACCCCTAAGACTCTCAGTTCTCCCCTGTAGAGAGGATCTTAGGTCTCTGGGCTGGGTGAAGATCACTCATCAAGAAATGTGAGAGGCAATGTCTTGTGAAACCATCTAATTAAAAATGTGCTTTCTCCAACACCAAAATAACGGTTTTAATCGAAGCAAGTTAGTTTAAATATGGAAGCCATCCAGCAGAAGCTGAATCAAATCCCACTCTACTAAAAATGATTGTAGGTGGTATTTTAAGTGGATTTGGTAAACCCCACAGGCGGCGTGGAGCAAGGGCGGGGGAGAAGTGTCTAGATTGAAGTTCCAGAGAAAGAAACCAGACATGGAGGGCTCTAGAGCAAAGACTTCAGCTGTTCCTGAGCAAGCCCTCTGTCGCTTTTCTCAGGGTTGACTGTGTGAGAGGAAAGGAACAGCTAGGCGGTTACATCCCTTTCTTCAAATCTCTCCTACAAGTGCAGAAACCAACTCTGAGAATGAATGAGCCACAATGTGCACAGGAGCAAATAATGTCCTCTGTGAGCACCCACCCAGTGCTCCTCTGTGATCCCCACCAAGTGCTCCTCTGTGAGCACCCACCAAGTGCTCCTCTGTGAACACCCACCCAAACACGGTGCCAGCACCCAGGAGTGATGCTTATTTGGGGGACTGTCAGAGACAGAAACTTAAAAAGCCAACTGTTTTTAGAGTAGAAACGAACTCCAGCACAAATGCAAGTGCCTTTTCATAAAATAGGATTCCTGAGTTAAATCTTAATTCCCAGCAGTATAATGCAAATTTCTGCTTCTTCCTAATTAAGGGATAATTGCCATCAAATGTATCTCTCTCAGAAATGAGTGGTGGGAATTCAGAGTTGCACTACCTCATATGGTAGCCACTATCCCTATGTGGCAATTTAAATTAATTAAAGTTAAATAAAATTTAAAATCTGTTCGCAATTGTGCTGGCCACATTTCAACAGCCACATGTGACTTGTGGTTCTAAGACAGACTTATAGAACATTCCCATCCATGTAGAAAGTTATGCTGGGTAGTACTGATCTAGACAAGGCTATATAGAGATGTTAAAAAGGAAAGTATTCGTTTCTTACTCAGTAAGAGAGCTCCAAACCTTGCCGAACCTATTAGAGCTGGCATGACCCAGAACAGCATGGGGCTGAATCCGACAGTGAACACCAAAAATTCCTCATCATCTCGTAGCATTCCAATCGTCCTGTCTGAACTCTCTGTGTTGAGTATTTCCACTTTGGGCTAGGGAGGTGGCTCAGCCTATAATGTGCTTGGCATGCAAGCATCAGGACCTGAGTCTGCACACTCTAGTGCCCATGTGAAAAGCTGAGCATGGGTGTTGGGTACCTATAACCCGAGCCTTTGAGAAGAAGGGAAGCAGGTGGACCTCTGAAGCTCATTGGCCCAGACAGCCTGTCTGTCAATCAAGGAGTTTCAAGTTTGGTGAAGAGACTCTATCTCAAAAAATAAAGGTGGAGAGAGATTAAGGAAAGACATGCAATGTTGACCTCGGGCCTCCACACACATGCATGTACACACATGTGCACACCACACTCACACCCAACGCCCACACACTATAATAATGATAGTCACCTGGGCCTGGCAAGATCCTCATTACTACCTCTCTCGGGGCTCCAGATTGCTCATCTGGCCACTGGACCACAGAGGTACTGGCCACAAGGAAAACCAAGATAAAGGGCTCTCAAAGCAGCCAAGTGAACACGACAGTCCTGCAAGGCAACAACTTTGAGCAAGACAGTGGCAGGCTGTAGCAAAGGCTACCAGAAAGCATTATCGTGTTCATGGAAAACGATATCCTGCAAGGCAAACTACCTCCCTCACAACGCATTTCGAGAGAAGCACATGGACTAAGCAATTGCTTTCGAGATATTATAATGCAAATTTAAATAAGCCAAACAAATCTCATGCAGCTAACTGCAGATCATAAGCATGCATTTTTCAAACAGTTTCTGTTTGCTCAATGTCAATTTACGATGTCCAGTTTGTGAGCTACGAGCTTGGGAGGCTTGCAAAACATTTAAGCAATTTATACATCAAGGACAAACCATTAAGATCCCCATGCTTATGCCATGAAGATTAAATCCACATTTCTAGTTCAGTAAGAGATGACAGCTGTTAGGTGTGGTAGTGCACGCCTTTAATCCCAGTCCTTGGGAGGCAGAGGCAGGTGGATCTCTGTGAGTTTGAGGCCAGTCTACATAGTAAGTTTCAGGACAGTGAGGGCTACATAATAGAGACCTTGTCTCAGGGGGGTGGAGAGAGAAGAAGGGAGGGAGGCAGACAGACAGACAGACAAAGGCACACGCACACAGGGGGAGGGGAGGAAGGGTACAGCTACGGTTAATGTTGGAAGCAAGGTCCTTTCCAGGACACGTGTAAGAAAAAGTTAGGTATCTGGTGCATTAAAGTTGAGATTGTAAAATTATGCACTCCGCATTTATTACATGTATGTGCCTAGCGGTTTACCCTCAACATGGGAAACTAAATGGGCCAACTTATTAACTGCTACCACGGACTTTATACATTCACATTCGCCTACCCTTTTTATTAACTGCAGCCCAGAATGGAGTTTCAGTCCTGCATTATTAAAATCTGTCTTCGATTCAAGCAGAGAATCCAAGAAGCAGAAACTAATATTGCCCTTTAGGCTGTGTTACTGTAATAGATCTAAGAACTGCCTTATTCTGCCCTGCTTTTTAAAAAAATGGATCAGCGTACTTCGGTTTCTTAACAGGACCACGCATGTAGGAGGTCAGCGTGGGATCGCCCCGGGAGATCGCCTGGCTTCCATTCCACCTGGGCTGTGTTCACACGCTGGCAATCACAACCCTGCCCCAGCCCTGAAAGACCTGGTCGGAATAACCGCAGCCCAAAGCCCAGCAAAGTGCTTAGGGGTATAATAAAGTGCCATGGAGGTAGGGGTGTACGGATGAATTGGGGGGGGGGGTGGCGAAGGAACACGAATTCCAACTGGGAAACCCCTCATTCTCCCCTTGATTCATTTCAGGAGGGGAAAACCACTCAGCAAAGGCTCTCCCCATAACCCGAGGCAGCCGACTTTTCCCAATTACCATGACCACGGATAACCAGAGCGCCTAGTGCCCCGGCGACCGGCACCCCCGCCCACGCTCGGTCCGAAACCCCTGATTCTTCCCAGGAACGCGCGCCCAGCGGGGCACCGCAAGTTAGCGCCCGGGGTGGGGTGGGGGGCCGGCTCGGCTCTGCCGCTTCTCCCCGGGGTCCCCACCCGGGAGCGGCCGCGGCGGTGGGACACCTGTCCCCGGGGCCGGGCGGGGGCCGCAGGCGGCACTGCGGCGGCGGGGAGCGGGACGGGCGAGCCGCGGAGCCGCCCGGGGCTCGGGAGCACGCGCTCGGGGGGCTGGGGAGGCACTGCCACCGCCCGGGTGGGGTCCCCGCGGGGACCCGGAGCCGAGCGAGCCGGGCATCGGGGCCGGGGGGCGGAGGAGGGCGCCGCGCCTACCTGCTCCGGGCGGCGGCGGCGGCTCCCGGGCCGTGACCTGCGGCGGCGGCAGCGGCGGCGGCAGCGGCGGTGGCGGCAGTCGCGGTGGGGAGGGCGCTTCCTTCAGGAAGGGGTGGGATCTGCCCACCCGCCCCCTCCCGCCGCAGCGCGGCCCGTCCCCGACTTACTCCGGGGTCCCCGCTGCGGGGCCTCGGGTGGACGGCGGAGCCCCGCGGTCCCGGCTTGGAGCTCCCCGAGTCCCCGGGTCCCTCCTAGTCACCCGGGACTGCGACCGGGGGCGGACGGTCCAGCCGCTTGCTGCCCAAGCCAAGGTGGACGCGTTTGCCTGGCGCTCCTCACCCAACAAAAGGCAGGACGGAATCCGGGATCCTCCGCCTGCTGGTTATTTATTCCTGACCTGCGGTAACCTTCTTGCTGGCTCCCTTCTGTCCACACACCTAGGGCTTTGCACAGAGCAGCTACAATTCATTTTCAGGCCCGCTTCTAGCCCTGTGGCGTTCGCCGCCACCCGCTGCCCTCCCGTGGTTTTCTTTCATCTTACCGAACAGACACAGGGCCAACTTCTGACCCTGACAATGAACCCAGGACTTCAAGGCCGCTCTCCTACAGCCGACTCGCTCATTTTCCCTGTGTCCTGGCTGCATCGTCATAAAAACTGTAATCATCAGCATTTTTGTAGCATTCCCCCCTCCCAGACCCCAACTTCCCGCAGTCGCTGTCGCTGACCCCTAAGCACAGTAGCCCAGTGCCATTTTAATCTTAAATTCATGGCTAACTTACTTTGCTCGCCTGTGCTATGTATGGTAGGGTCCCCTAGATGAACTTACCACAGCCGTCTGTTTAAAACCGTTGCCCCTCAAAGCACAAGCTGGTAAGACATCCTCCATTCAACCTGTTCAAAGTCTCCACCACTGCCTTGTAATTACCCACACAGGCATTGATTTCTGTTTGGTTCTGACTACTGGAAGATTTTTGAAGACTTGCATGTGACTTTCTGTTTACCATACATTAAGGAACGGGGCTATTATTTAGTCAATTAAGGCAGCAAATCAGAAGTTAATTCTGGTATAGAGTCCCCTGAAAGCGTATGCTGAACGGTGTGGGAGTTTTCCTCAAGAGAGTTAACTGTGATTTCTTCATACTCTCCAAGTGAACCTGTGAGTCCCATGAAGTTAAGAATTGCTTGAGGCCCACCATGAACCCCAGTTCTGAAGATTATACCCCTACTCCCTGCCCCCTTGTGTGTTGGAGAAGCCTGTGATGGCCAGGCTGGCATGTTGATACCAGAGGGCCTTCTGTGGGAGGCTAATAAGACTGCATTTTGATCATGAGTTTATTGGGTATGTATGGAAAAAAATCATTGATCCATGCTGCTGCTAGGGGTCATGAACATGCTGCCACTGTGAGGGGGGGGGTTGGGGTTTGGGGTCGAAGAAGTTATTAAAGTGCTGATGAATACATTTTTATGACCAAGCCATGAGAGGAAAAGAGCAAGCTGGCCCTGGAGAGCTGGCTTTAGAATCCTCGAGGTTCTCTCCCACCTCAGTCTCCCATGTTCCCTCATCTGCTTCTGCTCCTCGTCTAAGTTGACTGGAAGAGCACTCTGGCTAGACTTGTTTCTATCTCATTCTTTTAAAAATTATTTTTAACTATGTGCATATTAGAGTGCCTCTGTTTGGGTATGTGCACATGAGAGCAGGAGCCTTTGGAGCCCAGAGGCTTCCAGTAAACCCCCAGGAACTGGAGTTAGGGATGGTTGTGAACCACCTGATGGGGTGCTGGGGACCGAACTTGGGTTTCTTCTAGAGCAGTAAATACTCTTAACTACTGAGCCTTCTGTCTAGCTCCTTAATTTATTCTTGTGTGTGTGTGTGTGTGTGTGTGTGTGTGTGTGTGTGTGTGCATGTGCTGGGTACTGAGTCTAGAGCTCAGCACTTGCTAGGCAGACATTCTACCACTGAGCTATGTTCACAACCTCCTAATTATTTTAGTTCTTCTAGATACATCTAAAGAATTGCTGGTTCCTCTTAACTTGTATATCAGAATCACCTGTGGAACTTAAAAAGCCACACAAAGCCTTGAGTTAGAGCCTGGCTGGGGGGAGGAGGGGTAAGTCAGTGTGTGTGTGTGTGTGTGTGTGTGTGTGTGTGTGGTGTTGGGACAAAGTCTCACGCAGCCTAGACTAGGCTAGAACTCACTGTATTATGTAGTAAGGCTGACCTTGAACTCTTTCTTGCCTCCACCTCCTGAGTGGGAGGATTATGGCCAGCTTTGTTTTTGTCTTTTGAGGAGGGTTCTGTCATGGTTAACGTTGCTTGTCAACCCCAAAGAATCTAGACTCACCTATGGGACCAACCTCTGGGCTTGCCTGTGAGAGATTTCCTACATTGGGTTAGCCTCCAGGTACGTCTGCAGGAATTTTCTAGATTAATTGATTGAATGTAGGGGCCTCCGTTCCACGGGCTGGAGTCCTGAACCGAATAAAAAGGAGACCTGAGCTAGGCCCTATCCTTCCTCTCCCTGTTTCCTGACTGCAGACGCACCTATCTACCTCAAGTTTTGCCGTCACAACTCCTCACGGTGACGGGCTCTACCTGGAACCCTAAAACAGTCGACCTTCTCTTCCTTAAGTGGCTCTGTCCGGTATCTTGTTGGCAACAAGGTGAAAAGTAACTAATAGCCCTGTTAGGTGGCTTTTCCTGGGAGAAGTGAGCAAGCATTTCACTACCAACAGGCTGAAGCAAGGATTCTCAGTTGGAGTTGGTCAAACAGTATGTTTATAGGGCTTACTGACAGAGCCTGGGTAAGGAGCTACCTACAGGGGCAAGAATGACTCAAAGACGGTTGCATCTCCAAAAAAAGTCCATCCCAGCATGGCCAACACTGGCATTCTGACAGCCGTAGGAGACCCCAGGCTGTGGTGGGAACCTGTGGCCGAAGTGGAGCATGAAAACTCTTGGGTGTAGATGTAACCAACCTTCTTATTAAATAAGAAACACAGAACCAATGCAAAGAAGAAAGCCAAGAGGTCAGAGCTAAGAGCTAAAACCTTACCCTTCCTCCTGCGGTGGTCCTACCTCTCCGAACCAGAGCTACTTTCTGTGTTAAAGTCCTTATATAGAATTTCTGTTCTGCCTTCTCATTGGTTGTAAACCCAACCACATGACCGCCTCCTCACGGCCTGTCTGTATAGGCCTCCAGGTTTTCCATGATTGGTATTGATTAAAGGCATGTGTATCCAATAATGGCTGTATTCCTGAACACAAAGAGACTTACCCAGCTCTGCCTACCAAGTGCTGGGATTACAAGCGTACGCCACCACTGCCCAGCTTTCCTATGGCTTGCTAATAGCTCTGACCCTGGGCAACTTTATTTATTAACATACAAATAACATTTTAATACAAATAAAATATCACCATACTTGGGTATAGCCCAACTTCCTCACCTTACCTCCCCATATCCAGGAAACATCCCTAAGTGGGGAGGGGACTGAGATGAGGCCTTCACTGAGACCCCTTTTCAGTTGGCTGGGCTTCCCTCTGACTGCTCTCTACTTCTCACCTATTTTTCATACATACACTAGCCAGCCAGAGCCTTCCTAAACCTGCTAAAACCCCTAGACCCAGCCTCTTGAATGGCAAACACTTCCTTTTTTTTTTTGTTTTTGTTTTTGTTTTTGTTTTTGTTTTTCCCCCTGGTTTTTCGAGACAGGGTTTCTATGTGTAGTTTTGGTGCCTGTCCTGGAACTCACTCTGTAGACCAGGCTGGCCTCAAACTCACAGAGATCTGCCTGGCTCTGCTTCCCGAGTGCTAGGATTAAAGACGTGCATCACTGCCATCCGGCACACTTCCTCTTTTTAAATGAACTTTATTATCAAAAACAAAAACAAAAACACCCCAAAAACAAAACAAAAAAAACTTGCAAATAAACAGAAAGACCACACACCAAAATTAACCAGATTCAAAGTCTATACAACTTAATGAATTTATATAGATTAGAATAGGCATTCAAAATGAAAGCTGTATAGGTTCACATTAAATTCTACACTTTCAGTATTGAATACATTTTATGCATTTATCCACCACCGAGGAGGGAATGCAGGTAATAGACAGGGGTTATGAAAGAGGCTAGAAAGCTAATTGTTCTTCTAGTTCTAATTCTGGCGTAGAGTTCCTGGTTTTGGTGGTGGACATTTTCCAAGCTCCTTGCTGATGCCTTGTGGCCCATCTGGAGCTTTCTCTTTCTCTTTGGCTTAATAAACCCTTGTTCTGCTCACCCTTCTCTGTTCCTTATTCTTATATGTCAGGAGACAAGAAGTATGCAGAGAAGAAAATCTGCAGCAATTCCCTGGAGAGAGTGGATTCCCCCTTCCCCACCACTGTTGTTTCTTGTTATTACATTGTTATTCCTTGGGGGTGGGGCCTGTAAATCTAGTTACAGCGTTCTTCCAGTTGCTTTATTTACCTTCTAACTATGAACTTCCCCCTCCCTCCAGGAGTAGGAAATCACCACCCATCAGGCACATGCTAGGTTTTTGCAGGCCACAGCTTGCAGTCCGCTTGTCCCCGCCTTCCCAGCATCTGGGATCATAAGCACATACCATAAATGTGTGCCACCATGACTGGATAGGGCACGGGTATTTTATTTTAGATTTATTTCTTTCGTTTTATGTGTATGAGTGTTTTGCTTGTATGCGTGTCTGTACACATGCATGCCTGGTGCCCAAGGAAGTCAGAAGAGGGTGTTGGACCCCCTGGAACTGGATGATTGTGAGCTAATTATGTGAGTGCTGAGAGGTGAACACCTGTCCTCTACAAGAGCAGCAAAGGCTCTTAACCGCTGGGCCACCTCTCCAGCCCCAGGGCCTTTGGACGAAGAACCAGATGTGGTTTTTGACATGACTTCGAGAATCACAGGCTTTTGGGGGAATGAGGTCTCCAATTTGTAAGAGTTCCTTCCTTGGCTGTCCGCAGAAGGGCTGACCCAGCTTGCTCCACCTTGACTCTTCATTTCGCTCAGAGCCCCGCCCGCTTCACTTTAGGAAGCAGCTGGAGTTTGTGAGGAGGACAGCAGGGTCAGTGCCGGTTGTCAGCAGTACTCCGTCACCGCCACCTTCATCCCCAAAATGTCCACACAGATCAAGTCAGAGAGTGAAGGGATCACAGGCCTGACAGTGATATCGACCGTTTGTAATAATACGCTAAAGCGCTGGCTACGGAGAAGAGCTGGACACTATAGCGGATTCTATAGTCATTTACAGGACTTCTGTTCTATGCTCTACAGCTCAAGAGAACTGGAGACAAAACATAAGCTTGGCCATGCTCTCATATTCCTTTGATATCCCACTAATTAAAATCTGTTGTCTGTTATGCAATCGGTATGGCTTTAGACATTAAATCCATACATGGCTAAGTCAGGGCATGGTGGTCCATAACATAATAGCAGTATTCATAATGTGAAAACAGGAGGATTGCAAGTTCAAGGCCAGCCTAGACTACAT